TAGGCTCATATTTGTCCAGCACCAAGAGAATAGAGATCATGGAATTCTTGATCTCTAACGTCGAGGTGTTTTTCTGGACATTGTACGACATGCCTGGTATTGACCCTAACTTCATCTGCCATCAACTCAATGTCCACCCAACTGCCAGGCCAATTATATAGTGAACTCGCCGATCAACACTACACCACGCCGAGGTAGTAGCTGAGGAAGTGGGAAACCTACTTGAAGCAGGGGCAATCAGAGAGGTTCACTATCCCTTGTGGATCTCCAATACCGTGGTATTACCAAAGAAAAACGACAAGTGGCACGTTTGCGTAGACTATAAGACAGTCAACAAAGCATGCCTTAAAGACAACTTTCCCCTGCCACGGATAGACCAATTGGTAGACCTAACTGCGGGTCACAACCGACTTAGCTTTCTTGATGTGTATCGTGGATATCATCAGATCGCTATGTATGAATCGGACTAGGAGGTTACATCCTTTACAACACCTAGGAGGTTATATTGCTATAAGGTCATGCCCTTTGGCCTAAAGAATGTGGGGGAAATGTTCCAACGAATGATCACAAAAATGTTCGAACCATTGTTAGGCAAAACAATGAAAGCTTACGTAGATGACATGGTGGTCAAGAGCAAGAAAGAAGGAGACCATCTCAAAGACTTAGCTGAGATGTTTCAAATTTTGAAGACCCACAAATTAAGACTGAACGCATTCAAGTGTGCGTTTGGTGTGGGATTAGAAAAATTTCTGGGTTTTCTGGTGACCAACCGGGGTATAGAAGCCGATCCATCTCAGATCAAAGCCATTCAAGAGCTAGAAAGGCCCAACACAATCAAAGAAGTGCAACATCTCACAAGCCTAGCTTCAGCCCTAAACTGTTTTATAAGCCGATCGTCAAATAGGTGTTGACCGTTTTTCTAGGTGCTTAAAGCCAAGTTTTAGTGGGATGATGAGTGTGACCAAGCTCTAAAGAGCTTAAAAAAATACATGACCTCTCCACCACTGTTGGCAATCCCGGTGCTAGGAGAGGAACTCTTCTTTTACATAGTAGTATTCCAACACGCTATTAACGCAGTATTGGTGTGCGCCGAGGGAATACAGCACTTGCCCATCTTTTATGTGAGCAAGACATTACTAGGCGCTGAAATAAGGTACTTGCCATTAGAAAAGCTTGTTTTAGCATTAATGATGATCTCAAGAAAGCTGGCACACTATTTCCACGCCCACACAGTGATCATTTTAACAACATTTCCCTTAAAAGCTTTATTTGAAAGGGTGGACTTGTTAGGGCGAATATTAAAGTGGGTTGTGGAACTAGGATAGTTCGACATCAAGTTCCGACCACGAACCGCGATAAAAGCCCAAGCATTGGCTAACTTTATGGCAGAGTTTGCGCCAGGTAGTCATTATGTGTGCCCAGTAGACTTGACCTAGATGACCGAGTAAAGCAGGGAAAAAGTCGTGGGAATATCGCCGCCCTCGAAATAAGATGAGCAAGTGAACGACAACCACATAGTTCTATAGCGGCTGCTGAAGAAACGCCTGAGAATGGAATGCAAAAACAGTTAAGTAGTGAGGAACAATTTGCTACAACGGACAACAAGTTCGAAGAAAGCACTATTAGCATCCCAGATCCTAAGACATCATCAGATCCCGCCACTTGTTGGAAGTTATTTGTAGGGGAGATGTGGAAGCTCTTCGTGGATGGAGCGTCCAACAAGCACAGTGCTGCACTTGGGATAGTCCTTATCTCGCCAGATGGCTTGGCCATTGAACAGGCAATCAGCCTTGGATTTCTAGCATCCAATAATGAGATGGAGTACGAAGCACCGTTAGCCGTTTTGAGGTCAGCATTCCATATGGAGGCCGCCAAGCTAATGGTGTACAGTAACTCCCAACTAGTAGTCAACCAAATTTCGGGCAACTACGAAGCAAAGGATGATAGAACGGCCAAGTATCAAGAGTTGGTTAGAAAGGAGATCATAAAGTTTGAAGTGGTAAGGATAGAGCAGATGAGCTGGCCGGATTTGCGTCGATGGCCGACACGTCCATCCCACACCCATTGTTAATGGACTTCTTGCCAAGACCAAGTATTGAAGAGCCTAAAACAACCGAAGTATGCTGCGTCGAGCTAGGTCCCTCTTGGATGGACCCTATAGTGGTGTTCTTAAAAGATGGCGTTTTGCCAAAAGACAAGAAGGAGGCTAACAAAATTAGATTTTGGCTCTCCTCATCACTCACATTGTACAAAAACTCCTTCATAGGACCATACTTAAAGTGTGTCCATCCTAATAAGGTCGAAGCATTCTTGTACGAAATCTACGAAGGCATTTGTGGAAGTCACCAAGAAGGGAGATCGCTAGCCTACCGAGCTATTTCACAAGGGTATTGGTGGCCATACATGCAAGCAAATGTTGAGAAGTACGTCAAAAAATGCGAGAAATGTCAGAAGTTCACGCATCAAATTCATCAGCCAGCAAGAGAGCTTCTACCTTTGACCAGCCTGTGGTCTTTTGCAATGTGGGGCTTAGATAATGTAGGACCACTCCCAACTGCATCGGGCAACAGAAAGTTCTTTATTGCGGCAACAAACTACTTTGCCAAGTGGGTGGAAGCAGAGGCACTTGCCTCTATTAAGGAGAAAGACGTCAAGAAGTTTGTCTGGCAGAACATCATAACTCAGTTTGGAATTTCCAAGGCCTTGATATCTGACAACGACACTCAATTTGATGAACGAATCTTCAGGGGTTTTTACGAAGAGCACAGGATCGAATTCTATAACTATACGCCGGCATACACCCAAGCTAATGGCCAGGCCGAGGCCTCTAACAAAGCAGTCTTGGACGGTCTGAAAAAGAGGCTAGACAAGGCAAAACAAAAATGGACAGAAGAACTCCCCACGTCTTATGCACTTACCGAACTACACCTCGACGGTCAACCAGCGAAACACCTTTGGCCTTAGTTTTTGGCATGGAGGCAGTAATCCCTTTAGAAGTTAGCTTTTCCACTATTAGAAGCGAAAATTTTGATCCTGATGTGAATGGAGAAGCCATAGCCTTAGAGCTAGATCTGGCGGACGAACGAAGAGAGAGGGCATTGGTTCACATTGCCTCGTATCAACAAAAATTGTCTAGAAAATACAACAAGGCAGTGCATCCAAGGCAATTCAAGATTGGAGATTGGGTGCTGTACAAAGTAATGGGAAACACTCTGGTGCCCAGAGATAGCAAATTGGGGCCCAACTAGGAAGGTCCGTACAGAGTGATCGGTCTGGCAGGAAAATGAGCATACCACTTCGAAGATATGGACGGCCGAGCTATCCCTAGGCCTTGGAACACTGTCAATCTTAAAGTATTTTATTTTTAGCTCTTCAAACACTTTGTAATTTTTCTTTTTTATATTCAATAAAACAAGTAGACATTTTTTTCAGTATAATTTCTATCAGTACTTGTATTCTTCTGTTTGTAAAATTGTTTGCACTCATTACCCGACTGGAGGGCAATGTAGGTTGGCAAGGTTAACCAACATAACTTTTTGCACTCTTTAGCCAAGATAAGGATCTAAGCTAAAGAAGGTTGACAGGTTTGACCAACACAAATTTTTTACACTCTTTAGTTGAGATAAGGATCTACGCTAAAAAAGGTTGGCAGGTTTGACCAACATAACTTTTTGCACACTTTAGCCAAGATAAGGATCTAGGCTAAAGAAGGTTGGCAGATTTGACCAACATAACTTTTTGCACTCTTTAACCGAGATAAGGATCTAGGCTAAAGAAGGTTGGCAGGTTTGACTAACACAAACTTTTTGCATTCTTTAGCTGAGATAAGGATCTAGGCTAAAGAAGGTTAACAGGTTTGACCAAGATGACTTTTTGCACTCTTTAGCCGAGATAAAGATCTAGGCTAAAGAAGGTTGGCAAGTTTGACCAATATAACTTTTGATACTCTTTAGCCGAGATAAAGATCTAGGCTAAAAAAGGTTGGCAAGTTTGACCAATATAACTTTTCATACTCTTTAGCCAAGATAAAGATCTAGGCTAAAGAAGGTTGGCAAGTTTGACCAACACAAACTTTTTGCACTCTTTAGTCGAGATAAGGATCTAGGCTAAAGAAGGTTAGCAGGTTTAACTAACATACCTTTTTGTACTCCTTAGCCGAGATAAGTATCTTAGCCAATGAAGGTTGGCAGGGTAAGGTAGAGCCGAACTAATCAGTTCGGCTAAACATGCAGTTAAAATGGTGCACAACTATGAAAGAGAAAAACATAGTAACCGAGATGAAAAAGAAAACACAATAACCGAGCAAAACAATTGAAAATTTTCATTTAGCAGAAGATGCTTACAAGAGATAGGGCTTATAGCCCGGTTACATAGCAAAGAAAAAAAGAAAAACAAAGGCTGAAAAATGGCAAGTTCCACCATGGTCAGGAAAAAAGGTCATCTAGCTCTACATCCAGTTCGCTAAGGACCTCACCACTTGGCAGGCTTGCCCTAGTTTCCCCATCTCGTGTTAGATCGGTCACGGCCGCTCCTCCAGTCAGATTTAGCACGGTTTAGCTGGGTAGATCCACCCATGCTGGCAATGAAGCCTAGCGACCGAGGTCAGTGTAAGTGGGAGGAACATCTATTGGGTCTAGGACCTCCTCCTCATCTTCTTCCACCTGAAGGAACTTCTATTGGATGGCATTTGCGTAGTTCGTCATATAGCTTGGTATGAAGTAGGAAGGAGGATTCAGGAACACTTTAGAATCGTGCGCCTGACTGAGCTTTTCAGCCGTAGCCTTCCAACCGCACTTAAAGAATATATCTTTGGCCACTTCACATTGTTGGACATAGGTTTTTTCACCCTCCTTGAAACCACGATCCTTTATGTCCTCCATCTTTTTCTATAGCTCCTTTAGTTTGGCATCCTTTTTTTTCTCTAGCTTGGCCAGTTCACGTAGATAACGGTCCTTCTTTTCGGCTAAAGCTTTTTTCTTCTCCACCTCAGCTGCACTAACCTACTCGGCCAGCTTTTCTTTCTCGGCACTCAGCTTCGCCAGAGATGCCTTCAGTGCCTTAATCTCAGCGTCTTTCGCTTCTACCTCAACCACCTCTGTCTTAGCTATTTTTTGCAATTCAAGAACACGTTGGTAAGCAACGTATTCTTCTGAACAGCCTGCGCAGTGCATGAAGTGGTAAGTTAAAACTGCACCAAGAGATTGTAAGAATAAACAGTCATATTGAAATTTCAAACTTTAACAAGACCATCCACTTGGTGGCGGACCGAATCGCCTTCAACTCGGTCAGGTGATCATGTTTTTCCATGTCAGTTAGAAGGCATAGGCTTTTGGATAAACCAAAGGCTAGCATGTGATCTTTCTCGGCTGCAACCGAGTCGGTAGTGGTCACCGCACGACCTCTGTAGGTCACTGCAAGAGCCCACACCGGTGGCAAAGAGGAACTAGCTCGGCCAGGGTGACGACCCCCTTATGGAGATCGGGTCGCTAGTAGCTCGGTCTTCGGCAGCTCAACCTCTTCCTCGTCAACTAGCCGCTGCTGTTGGGAGGCCGAAGTGCATGGCCTCTCGCTAGGCCAAGATGAGGTAGCTCCGGTGGAAGGCAAAATAACAACGGTCTTTACAGTCTGGCCGGTGGGGGGTTGTTCTTTTTGGACCTCGGCAATTAAGACAGATGTCTGCTCAATGATCAGAACTCGGATTGCTCTCTTCTTAGCCATCTCTTGTTCTTCGATTAGGGGAACTAGTTGGATTTGGGAAAGGTTGGGGTCTGGCTCTGGGGAGGATTCCAAGAGAAAGTCGGTTACTTTGGCCTTTCTCCTATCACTGTATCGGTAGGTCGGCTGAATTTCCAGTAGATCGGCCCAATCTCGATGGCGATAGCATAACGCTACTTGATTAGTGTACGCGTAGTTTGATTTAAGCTAGTTCAAATCTACAAAAGAGACAAAATCACAAGGGTTAGCACAACAGTTGTTGATATAACAAAAAAGATTAAACTGGACTATTTTTACCAGCTGTTCCTTTGTTCTAGTTGATACTATAGCCTGGTATCTGGGCTTCTTGGTCTTCAAAATTTCTTGACACCCAGAGAAAATCATCGTCGTTTAAATCTTTATCTGGTGTATGCTTGACAATTTTCTCTCGGCCCTTCCTTATTCTGAGGTAATAAACCCAACCATCATCATTTTGGCCAAACGAATACTGATGAAATAGCTCGGCCAATCCAAGGTTAAGGCTAAGGCGACGATTTAGCTTGGCTATCCCGTTAATAATCCTATAGATATTCATAGATAATTGAGTGGGGCATAGTGTGGTTTGTCTAAGGAACTCACAGATTAGTGGTTGGACTAGGAATCAAAGTCCCCCCTCTACGATGGACACCACGGTAAAAGGGACAAAACTCGGGTTGTTCCATGGTGTACTGTCTAGCTCGACTAGGGAAAGGTGGACATCTTTTGGGATGTGCTAATTTCTTCGGAATTCAGCCATGGCACCAGACGAATACACCAAAAATTGGAAATTGCCCATTAGCATAAAATCTTGCTATGTTAAGTGTACACGGCGGCCTAGCACGGCGCTGATGTGACTTTGGTTGGCATGGTCGAGCAAAGTCGCCCAGGGGCAAAGTGCGAAGGTGTGCTTAGCCAACCTAGTCAAATCTGCAAAGTGCAAAAAGAAAGGAGTTATGCCCAAGTGATAAATCGGGATAAATAAAAGTCAAGACTAATCAAGTCTAGCTCAGTAAAAGGTGGGCACATACTATGCTTTGTTCGGCTAAGGAACAGTTGAGAAGAGGAATGGTTCAGTTCTAGAACTAGTTTAAGGTTTTAGAATCAGGGTAAATTCAGTTCGATTTAAGAGAAGAAGCAAGATTATAGCCCGGTTTGTTGAGTAAGGGATTTCTAGTCCGGTCAAAAGTGAGCCTAAGGTCGCAAATAGGTTCTTATTTCGGTCGCAATATGATTTTGGATCAAAAACATTGTTCTAGACTGGTTTTAGTTCTAGTCAATGTGTTTTTAGGTTTGAGCATGGAGTTTCAAGGTTCTTGATGTTAGTTCAGTCTTTAGTGAATATAACACGCATATCTGGTGTTAACATGCTATTTTTTAGGCATATCTGGTCTTAAAATGCTACTCTTAAGAAATAAACAGTAGTATATCAATGGAGAAAAGCAAAAGGCATGACGAACTTACGGATTGAGGACATGAAATCAGAATCCAATCAGCAGAAGAAGCACCTGCAACTAAGATGAGCGAGACAGGCAGTTTAGATGCTTGGATTAGGACTTGAGCATATGAGGCGGGGGAATGGAGCTCAAAGTGCGACAGTGTAATGTAGCTCGGCTTTTCACGCTCCCTTTCGGAAAAATGAAATAGCCCTTACAGTTCAGACTCCACTTGTGTGTTGGTTCTGATTCTGATTTTACAAGTGCAATGTGAAACAATGAAAATACAAAAAGAGTCCAAATCTGACAATTTCTTTTGAAAAATCGATGTTTGAATCAAATTCCAAAAATGGACTGTTTTTCCAGATTTCAGAAACCCATGACTCGTGCCAAAAGCCATTAGTTCATCGTTACCAAAGTGTCTTGGTTCGGGAACTTAGGTATGAGAGGGGAAGGTCAATAATTGAACACCCCACTCACCCGATCAAAGATCGGCCTCTACTAATCATGATGTGATTTTTATGTACAATATATGCTCTTGTTCTATATGTAACATACAAGTATAGACTAATTTCACGAAAAGTTAGAACGTTTGATTCCATGTTTGTTTTGAAAAAAATATTTTGAATATGTATCACTGAAAATGGTGATCTCATATATACATGAATCAAAGTATCCCAATTCAAGTGATTAGCCTTTATCCACAGGCATTCAAACAAGTATATCAAGTAAGCATTTAGCCTCATGGTAGTATGTTGGATATGACAGCAATCACACTTATGCAATCTGCTAAAGCATAAAAACTTACCTTATGTCCGAAGGCGAGTCAAAAGAAAGTAAATAGTTAGAAAAAATACATGATCCTAATTAATGCGATATGACTAATGCAACACATACAACGTGCAAGTAATAAGCTCGGCTACTAGCATGGCATACAAGTCAATTCAAGGCATGTGGTAGAGCATGTATTCAAGTAAAGAGTTTGAATTTGACATTTGAATAATATGATGAGCCGAACTTTTATGCATGCAAACGAATGGATGCAAATCATGAAAAATGCTAATTAAACATGATGTCCCTAATCTAACCATCATGAGCAGTGAAATAAAAGGAAGAAAGAATAGGGGTTGGAAGACATACAACTTATTACATATTTGTCCTCACGAAGGAGGGTCTGAATGTCCAAATGTCCGAATAAATAATTATTACAAAACCGAATGAATAATAAATGAAAGGGGCTGTCTAATTCATGACAAGAATTGATGTACAGCAAGCCTAGACACAATAAACTCGGTATAACGTCCAACCGAATTCAATTAATCATATTGGTTCTTTATGTCGGTTGTAATCCAATTTTAACCAATCTTATTAGCCTTTTTATTACCTTTCCATTTCTTCATCTTTTCTCCTGCTTGTGCAAAAGTGATATTTACGTCCACTAAGTCCAAAATGCAATCAAGAGAAACAAGCATCAACTTAACCTGAGAAAATTTTCTTCGGGGGAAATTACAAAGGAAGAGTCAAACTTATTTACAAGTGATAAGGGATTCCAAGTCAAACTCAAGATGTACAACAAGGACTAGTCAAACTCAAAAGAGTGATAATGACTTAGAAAAACCCAAACTTGAAGTGATAATGACTTAAAATCGAAACTTGATAATAAGTGATAATGACACTTTCCTTGGTGATTTCCAAAGGTCAATTAGTCCCTTAAAAGTAAACACACTGATGAATAAAGAGAAATGAAAAATAAAAGATTGTGCTTTAGTATAAGAAAATTTATACATTTGGGGTAGTGAACCTCCAAAGAATTTAAACCGTTAAGTATAGAACATTTGTTGCTTTTGGTAGTAAATCCCCTAAGAGATTCAATCAGTAAGCACAGAACGTTGTATACTTTTGGAAATGAACCCCTTAAGCATAAAACAGTTTATGCCTTTGGTAGTGAACCTCCTAAGCATAAAACGTTTTATGCCTTTGGTAGTGAACCTCCGAAGAGATTAAACTATTAAGCATGGAAGAGTTCCTTTCTTATACTTGAACCACAATCTTAATTTTTCACAACTTTTTAATCGAAATTGATAAGGGATTCCAAGTCAAACTCAAGATATACAACAAGGACTAGTCAAACTCAAAAGAGTGATAATGACTTAGAAAAACCAAAACTTGAGTGATAATGACTTAAAATCGAAACTTGATAATAAGTGATAATGACACTTTCCTTGGTGATTTCCAAAGGTCAATTAGTCCCTTAAAAGTAAACACACTGATGAATAGAGAGAAATGAAAAATAAAAGATTGTGCTTTAGTATAAGAAAATTTATACATTTGGGGTAGTGAACCTCCAAAGAATTTAAACCGTTAAGTATAGAACATTTGTTGCTTTTGGTAGTAAATCCCCTAAGAGATTCAATCAGTAAGTACAGAACGTTGTATACTTTTGGAAATGAACCCCTTATGCATAAAACAGTTTATGCCTTTGGTAGTGAACCTCCGAAGAGATTAAACTATTAAGCATGGAAGAGTTCCTTTCTTATACTTGAACCACAATCTTAATTTTTCACAAATTTTTAATCGAAATAAACAAAGAATGGAGGGAGGTTGCAGAGATGATTATGCGAAATTGATTAATTGATTAGTACAAACAAACTTGATATTGAAAACATAAATTATTGAAATAAATTAAACAGCCCCCTAAATAGCATACAATAGTGCTGAAATTAGAAATCTACTACTTTTACTATTCACCGCCGGAGGTTACTATTCACCGCCAAAGGTTACTATTGATCCGGTAGGGTAAATTATTTAAAGTAATAAATTACAACAGGGGCTTTCTAATTTATTACGAGAATTGATGTAAGGCAAGCCTTGACACAATAAACTCGGTATAATGTCCGACCGAATTCAATAAATCATATTGGTTCTCTATGTCAGTTGTAATCCAATTTTAACCAATTTTATTAGCCTTTTTTATGACCTTTCCATTTTTTTATCTTTTCTCCTGTTTGTGCAAAAGTGATAT